AGTCATTTATTATTTATTATTTAATGAAAATTTTTATTATTTTGTTAATTTATTATAACTATTTAAAGTGTTTAATATTAATCTACTGGTTGTTTGTAATAATTTTTATATTTTTGTTTAAGTTGAATTTTATTGTATTGCATAAATTTTAGCAAAGCTCAAAATTGCCGGGCGGTATGTTCTGGCCGATATTAATGTATTTTTTTTTGTTGTTTGTTATCTTTGTGATTGCGCTGCTTGGCCCTATCGCCGTTAGCAGTAGTTAGTTCACTGCAATCCGTCGTTATGGTCAGTGCGATACGTAGTGTTTTATGTTTTATAGTATAGCGTTGTTATCTTAAAATATAATTATAATTAATAAACAAATACTATTATTAATAAAAAAAAACGTATATTATACAGTCCATTCAAACCAAGAACACTGATTTTACTTGTAAAATGTTCTAAGCTCTCTATATTTTTATTAGAAATATAATTTTATAATTTATCCTTAATATTATCCTTAAATATTATCTCGATAATACNTTATCCTTAATATTATCCTTAAATATTATCTCGATAATACTGAACTGTACATACTGCATTTACCTAGAATAAACGAGTATTTCCCTAAAAATCGTATGTTTTACAGGATTTTTACTCTAGTTCTATAAATAAAATTAGTCATTATTTATTATTAATTGTTATACGATTACATTGATATATAAATATGAAAATTTTAGTTTTATACATATAAAAAATAATTATGCCATTGATAAATTCATGTCTGAAAATGAATCATTTAATTGACTATTTAATTCATCTTCTTTATAGTTGTCATTATTATGAGGGAATATTACTAACATCTTACCATCTTCTGATAACTCTTTTAAATGCACTTGCTTATTTCTATCAATACTAGAAATGTAAGAATCCGATAAGATAAGAAGTATGTGAATTAAATCCTCATTAGTATTTAAGCGCGAATTCTTTCCGGTGTGATGTTCTTGGTACATTTTATAATCTTTATTGCGACTCTCTTGTACCTCCTCAAATAAGTTGCCTAAAATAAATGTTGATATTCTTCATTATAGTAACTATAATCTTTTGTCATATTACCTATAGGAAGTGGCGCATATTGAATAATATGAGCACCGTGTAACAAAATTTTATGCACCGACGCCGGCATTTAGTACCACGGATACAATGATATAAACAATTTAGCTGTTAAAAAAAAATATTCTTCAAAGGCCTTTATGTTTATTGTATATCCGCTCGCTATTACCGATAAAATTGTTCCACAGCGCTTAATTAAATTAATATCAATCCCAGTACAGGAGGATGACAATTCAGTGTTTTTAAAAATTTCCCTTGCAGTATTGCCATCGTTCGTAGTTCCATGTCCTATAATTGGACAATAATGAATATATATTAGACAATATTAAATTGTATAGAATGAATTATTTTTTAAATGTTTTAACATTTTAATATTAAATTAGACTAAAGTATCACATACCTAAAATAAGCGTATGTTTTACTTCAAAGTCGTCACTACTATCATTGCTATCATCACTACAGCATCTAAGTTCAAGTGGCACAAGAGAGAACATGAACATTGTTTGGTCAGTTGTACAAGGGTTGTTATTAAATTTTTGATTATATTGGGTCTGACCACTACTTCCGTCGCAACCTCATTTATAAAACATTTCTAATAACTTTTTGCCAATTTTTACCTCGTTGATAGCTGGTATTTGAAAAATTCTTTTAGTTGTGTGATCTAAAAGATTCGGCAAGGGTATTATGGTACCAGATTCACTAATTTTAACATTATCGGGATAACATTTTTGTTTAGCGCTAAAAATTTTTTTATAAGATAGATAAATATTGCAATTCCTCTTTTTAGCTCCTAATCTTATATTCATACACAGTTGTTTTGTAAGTTGATTGTCTACAATAAATGCTAAAGCTTCATCAGCAGTATAAGAAATAGGTTCTTTGTTACAAAAATCTTCAATTGTCATTTTCATTTGGGGGACACTATTAGGAGACAACAGTAGTTTAATAAATAAAGCAGCCTCATTTCTTTTTCCAGAAACAAATAACTTTTTTTTTTCTGCACATAAAATTTCAGGTGACGTCATTGATGTCATAGTTAATTTTTCGCCGCATTGTTCGTTCTGAACATTCAGTTAAATCAACGAAAGGTCGGCCTTTTATTGTTTTAGTAGATTTTTTTTTATTGAAGGTATTTTAAATGGTGTAGTAAGCCATTCTGAATAATTTTTCAAAAACCTTTCATGATGATGACTAACCTTAGTCCATCTTCTAGAAGTATCCAAACAAAATACTAATATACTTTTTTCAACTTTTTTTAAAAAATGAGTACTCCAATTTGCTCCATTATATTTTTGCTTTAAAAAATCAAAAATTACTGCCCTTGAGTTATTGTTTGTTATGTTTTTTAATCTAATACCATTTTTTTTAATGACTTGAATCAGTTGTTGATTTGAAAAAGAAATGGATGATGAACAATCAGAAACTAAAATAAATGTATAAATTTAATATTGTTAAAAATTATAATATCGAAATTGAAAAAAAGGTTTAATCTTAAATCTTATAACAATCATATTATTTATTATATAGCATTAAGATCGAAAAAAAAATGTATTAAAAATGTATAACTTGTTAAACAGTTTTTCTAGTAAAATATAAATCTACACACATTTATAAATTGATTAAATAAGGGTATAAACTATTTAATAATAACTTACCACGTATTTTAATGTCCATTTAAAAAAGTAATTTTAAAGGTTAAAAACTTATAAAAAAAAACACTATATTGAAAAAATGAATAGAAAATAGAGAGATTAACACATGGAGAGTGGTTAACTTTATGGCAAATAATATAACGAGGAAAAAATTTTTCGTCAGATAGATATACATTCAAAATAACTTAAGCAATACCAAATCTTATCGATGAGTTCACATCATGTCATTTATTAGTGTTAACTTATGAGGATGCCTATAAAATCGTAATACAATTTTTAGGGAAATACTCGTTTATTCTAGGTAAATGCAGTATGTACAGTTCAAATATTATCGAGCGCTAAATTTGTTTTTTTCATGGTATAGCTGATGACTTGCTCTACAAGCCACATGTATGGATTAACGTGTAATTTTGCGTAATTTTTAGTTAATTTCTTTAAACGAGCAAACTAGAGAAAAAAACGAAATAAAATCGAATTTTTTTTAAGTATAAATTTGTTAAATTCCACAAAAATAAAAAAAAACTTTTTTCCCCTTTTTCATTTGACAAAGGATATCTTTTTTAGTAGGAAAAAAAAATTTTAATTTAAAATTATATTTTAAGGCATAAAAATAATGTACAGAAATAAACTCAAAATTACTGAAAATACGGATAAATTTTAGAAGTATAACATTAAAATAGCTCTACACCCTCATTAAATCAACTTATGCCCTTGAAAATTTTTTATTAAAACCCTTAAGTATGATATTAATGTGTTTTGCTAAAAAAAAAATTTTAATTGACTTTTAAAAAAAGGTACTTTTGGCCGCCTAAATCGGCGTTTCATTCTACTGTGTGCCGGCGCGATGTTCTTTAAAACAAAGACATTAGCTCAGAGACTAGCTACCCAATAAGTATAAGATTAGAATACACTTAATCCAATAAAGTTATTATAAAATTAGTTTAAGTCTCAGTTTCAAATGAAAAATTGTGACCTTTAGCTCTGTTCACCACCATGATGTTCGTTAGAACAAAAACATTAAGCTCTAAGCCTAGCTACCTAATAAGAAATGTTCACAATAAATTTTTACTATTATAAAAAATGTATAGTTTAGTTTGAATTTATTATTTATTTTTATAATTAAATAATTTAAAAATAAGGTTTAATATTTAAAATATTAATTGACATTTCTTTCAACAAGAAGAAAAATAAATAAATAAAACACTATTATTTAATAAACAAATGAACTTAAATAAAAAGATTCATCGAATCAAAATTCACTTTAAAATTTTAAGTGTCATTTAATTTAAAAAAAAAAAAATATTCCAAGTTTAAATAACTAAAAAAAAACGAATAAGTCCCAGGGAGTGAAATTTTGAATAGAGCGTCACAGATTTTGTGTATTTTAAATATACCGAAACAACTGGTTTTGACGGGGGAATATGATTTTTTACAGTCAGAAGGGGATAGTCTATCAATCTCTAGCGTGATCTTCAAAGTTGAGGCTTTCTATTCCAATTAGATAATTATAATGGAGTCCCTGCATTTAGGCGTTACTTAAAAATCTGTACAATTATTAGATTTTATCTAATAAATAAACTCAACTATAAACATGGATACATCCTTAAGCACTTTAAGCCGCAAGACAATCCATGAAAGCTTTAGCAAATCTCATAACTATTAAGTGGATATAATCAAGAATGAAGAGTATTTAAATTATTATACTAAGTTGTTAGGAAAAGTAAAATAGAAAAAGAGATGGTTGAATGCAATTTAGGGTGATATGAGAACTACTGGTGCTTGTATAGGTGACGTGACAAGTGTAAGCTCAGAACACAATAGACTGACTTCAAGTAGTTAGGATATATGCGAAAGAAAAAAAAACATTAAGCATTATCGTTTAATTTAAGTTTTTAAATGTTACATTACCTAATAGAATTTATCTTATTTTGTATTATAAAATTTCTTTAAAATTAAATTTTCTTTCAAGTTTAAAGAGTATCTAATATCTATATTATGAAATACAATTTTTTCTTGGGTTTTATTTATAAAAATGACTTTAAATAATTCATTGAAAAATGTGTTTCTATTTGATTTTTCTATTATTGATTTTCTAAAATCGTTGATAAATATTTTTTCAAAATACGAGTCTTAAATAATTGAACGTATGAAGCTACATAATAATTTTAACAAAAACTTAGACTTATAATATTATTACAATGACATAAAAAAAAAAATGTGATTTTATATGGTTTAAAAGAAATATTTTTTTAGTTGAGTTCGCTGAGAGTCCTAAAATATTTGCCGCAGCAGACTATTTGAAAACATCTATTTGTGTTTACTCAGATGATTCATTTTTAAAAGGGTGGCACTTTTTTGCAGCAAATAACTTATTAAACACAAAAGAAGATGAGAAATGTCTATACATTATTAATCACGGAGAGCACTACGATGTTGTGGTTGACACGGTAGATTAATAATTTATAATAATCTTTAAGAACATGCTTTAATAAAAACAATAAATATTAGACATAATAATTTATTTTCATATAGAAAATAATAAAATAGAAAAAACTAATTTATACAATTACATTAAAAAACAATGTAAGCCACAAAATTTTGAAAATCGATTTTTCAAGTGTATTATGCAATTTTTGACCTAGGGCGTCTGTTTTGAAAAAAATTAAAAAGCACAATATGTTTTAAAATTTCTCAAAAAGTATTGGATTTATGTTCATATAACATTAAATATACAATAAATTTTAAATGTTGTCAATTATCTCATTCTAACAATATCAGAACTTTAATTAATTTTTTTAATTAACAAATATTGCTTGTATTTTCTTAATATATAATATATATAAGTAGAAGGTGGTTTTTTCAATTTTTAAGGGGAATGTCTTCAACTAGATATAATTTGTGATCTTCTGACATATCGTTAAAAGAAATTGATCCAGTGAGAGCTGAGAAAACGTGACAAAAGACAAAAAAAATCGCATTATGATAAAAGTAATACCGTCTCAGCTTCGTATCGAAGCTAAACATTTATTTTGCACATTTTTTAGGTACAAAAAATCTTAATTTATTAGTTTTTTTTATCATTTTTTACTTTGTTATAGTTTGCGATTTAATTGCTTCATTAAATAAATTCAGTAAATCAAAAGTATATTAAATTTAACCGTTATGTTATTAATATAATTAGGAAATTAAACTATTTTAAAACAGTCAGACTTAAATTAGTATTATACATTTCAATAGTAGTAAATTAATTAAAAATGAAAAAATAATCATAAAATAATAATTATAAAAAAATAGTCTGTAATACAGACGCGTAAGGCTCTTAGGGCTCCGGGTCTGGGGTGGAGCCCCAGCTAGGTGGAACCTAGTAGTAAATAAATTTAAAATAAACAAATTTAAATATTTAGTAATAATAATTATTACTTATAATACACTTTATAACAGACTTATAATAAGATTTTTTTAAATTTAGTTATTAAAATAACCATTATGATTTTTTCAACTTGGCAAGAATTTTTTACTCTTTTTTATTAAAATTATTTCAGTTTCCAATAGGAACAGAACCTTTAGATGACACTGAAATTAAAGTAAATATTGTTTTATCTTTAAATAAATTTAAAATAAACATAAAAACTTTGGTTGAAATTATTTGCACCGTACTATTAATAACAAAAAATATATATTATCCCTTATTTATAATGTTATACAATAAAAACGGTAGCACAGTGGGGTCGAGGCACAGTGTGGACGAGGCATAGATGGGACAAGTATAGATGATATCTGACAGTGATTAAAATCACTATCATAAGAAACGCTTCGATGCAAATCTGTAGATAGTGTTTCCTTTAGAGAAATTGGTGAAATATTTTAAAAGCAACATGAACTCTTATTTCTTTAATTATATCCTGATTAGTAGTTCTTTGATTTTAAAATATAATATATGAATAAATACTAATTATAGTTTTTAAATTTAGTATGAAATTGTGAGGCCAGCTATGATGTATGGTTAATAGTGTTGGGCGGTTGATAAGAAAGTAGAGCAGAGAATAAGTGTAGCAGAGATGAGAATGCTTAGTTGGATGAGTGGAGTGACTAGAGAAGATAGGATAAGGAACGAGCATATAAGAGGAAGTATAGGTGTTGCGTCAATCGTGGATAAGATGACAGAAAATAGACTTAGATTGTTTAGTCATGGTATGAGGAAAGAAGAATCGAAAGCTGTAAGAACAGTTATAGAAATGAATGTTGAAGGAAGAAGAGATAGAGGAAGACCAAAAAAGAGATGGAGGGATGCTATTGAATGCGATTTGAGGACAGCTGATGTGAGCGTAGAAGATGTGGGAGATCGTGTCAAGTGGAATCTTAGGATAAGGGTGCCCGACCCCAAGTAGTTGGGATTAAGGCAAAGAAAAAGAAAAATATTACCAGATATTCCGGTGGCAATTGACATAATATGATTGTTATTTCGGAATGTACAATTTAGCGTTTAGTTGGGTTTAAATAATATAGCGTCAAATCAATTACCTACTCTATCGGTTGTATCTCAATATACACTACACTTTAATGATACAATAAATAAATAAACTCACACATACACACATATGCATTTATAACATTGTGTCTAATGTAAGTATAACATGATAAAAAGTAACCGTAAAATGAAAAAAATGGAATATAAATTTTATTACTCATATTAAATGTAATGTAACTCGAAAAATATTTGTTTAAATGAAAAAATATAAGATTATATTTTTATTTATAATTGTCTTTTAAACAACTTTTGTGCGAAACTTTTTTTTGTAAGTTAAATATTTTTTTTTGAGAAAATTAAGAAAGCTCATATTTTTGAACTTTTGCGAGGATTTAAAAAAAAAGCTCAATTCCAATCTTGAGGACTATTAGTATGTCATTATACATATTTTAATTCAACTTTTAAAAAAACAAAATTTTTTCCGCAATTTTTCCTTTGTTGACTGGCCTAGATGTCAATTTTAAACTTGTAATTGAGCTAAAAGTTATGGTAATATATTCAATTTATTTTACTATAAACTTTCATAAATCTTTATCAAAAATTTTTCATCAACTTTAAAGAACCAAAAAAATAGGTTAAAATTGAAAATTTGGACTGATTATTTTTAACATATTAAAAATCAAATCAGTAATAATTTGAAAACAAATTTTTTTTTCTTTTAATTATTATTTTATATATATAATTAGTAATAATATAAAAAATTAGAAGTGATAGAAATAGTCTACTTGCAGATTTGAAAACAACGCGAAAAGTTGATTTAGAAAAGTATATTTTTGCTTCTGATGAAAGTTCCTTGTAGTCCAGTGCATTTTTTTATAGTAACAAACAGTTTTTATTGAAAATTATTGTATCAAGCCCTTTAAATTTTTATACACGTAAAAGTAAAGCAAAATATAACTTCTTTATTATTTTTATAATTTCTCCGTTTAAATTACAATATTAAATATCAATTTCATACTAAATTTAATAATTATAATTAGTATATATTCAAATATTATATTTTAAAATCAAAGAACTACTAATCATGATATAATTAAAGAAATAAGAGTTGATGTTGCTTTTGGAATAATCCACCAATTGCCTAATTAAAACAAAAAAAAAAAAAGTTTGTTGGGAATTTTTTCTGCTATTCTGCAAAATTACTCCTTCGTTGACTAGAATGAATCATTAAATAGAAAATTTTATGAGAATTAAAACAATGTTATTTTTAAGATTAATATGCAGTCAGAAAGTTTTATAATTATTATTTATTGTAAATTTATCAGAAAAACTCATTATTTTTTGCATTTTTATCGTAATAGAACACTTAAATAGAAATCATAGTAATCATTTCTAAGTAATTTTTGATATTTAAAAAGATTCTACTATTGAAATATCCAGAACTGAATTAATTTTAATGATTTACTTTAACTAAAAAAAAAAAAGTTAATATTTTGAATCCCTCTTGTGGGCAGGTAAAGGGTTAGATTTATAAAAAAAACCAAATGATAGATAAAGACATGCATCTAAATAAAAAAAAATATACTGATTTGGTCATTTTTGATAAAGTTATAACAATTAACAAAGTTATAAGTTTTATACACTGGACTACAAGGAACTTCCATCAGAAACAAAAATATACTATTCTAAATCAACTTTTCGCGATGTTTTAAAATGTGCAATTAGACTTTTTCTATAACTTCTAAGTTTTAATATTATTAAAAAATAGTTTTTACATATAAAAAAAAATAATTAAGAACAAAAAAAATTGTTTTAAATTAATACTGATTTGATATAATATTTAATATTAATTTGATTATTAATAAGTTAAAAATAAGGAAAATGACATATTTAACCAATTTTGTTAATCGTTTAAAGTTGATTGTTGTAAATGTTTATAAAAAAAAAAAAAAATTTATTTTACCATAACTTTTAGCTCAATTGGTAAGTTTGACATTGACATAATTAAATAGAAAATTTTATGACAATTAAAAAAATTGTATCGTTAAGATCAATATGCAGTCAGAAAGTTTTATAATTACTATTTATTGTAAATTTATCAGAAAAGCTCAATATTTTTTTGCATTTTTATGGTAATAGATAACTTAAATAGAAGTAATAGTAATAATTTCCTAGGAACTTTTGTTGTTTGTTGAAAAGATTCTATAATTGAAATATTGAGAACTTAATTAATTTTAATGATTTACTTTAACTAAATGTACCAATCAAAACAAAGTTGTTAAAAAGATTTACTCAATTGAGTTTATTATAAAATTTGATTATATTTGTAAAAATCAATTGTTAATTCAGGAGAAAAAACAATCATTTTTTTTAGAAATGATTTATATAGCAACACGTTAGAAAAAAATTTGAATATTATAGTCTAATAGTAGCACACACAAACAGAGTAATAAAATTATTAAATTACAAAGTAAAATGATTTAATTTTGTAGTTGAAACCTATCATATCAAACTTCATTCGTTAATAAATATTTTGAAAACATTAGAAATTAATGATTTTAATTGTCTTTATGGAGACGATGTAATAACTAACTGTTTAATTGATAAATTAGAATTTTTTTTTCAATTTTTGAGAGTAATATCTTCAACTAGATACGAATTGTAGTAATTTGACGTATTGTTGAAAAAAGTAGGTCAAGTTAGAGCAGAGAAAATAAATGATAGTCACAAAAAAATATCTTCTCGGCTTTGCATCGAAGCGAAAACTTAAAATATAGTAAAATAATTTTAATACGAATAAGAAATTTCTTCTTGCAAGGGGCGACTAAAGTGATGGGATCCTTGATCTTTATTGAAGTTATTGAATCTAAATGTGATAAAAATCAAACGAGTTAAAATTTATACTAACTTAAAAAGAATTAAGAAAAAATGCAAAAAATTCATTGCCATATGCGGGTTGGAACCTCGTACCCCAAGCGTGTAAAACATAAATTTTACCAACTCGGCAACCGTACGTTGCTTCCGGCGGTTGAAAAATTGGCTATTTAAGCTAGTTCAAATTTCAAAGTTATTTTTCTCGACTTAAAAGAAACAAACATATTTAAATAAGTTTAACTATCTATACTATATCAATTTTAATTTATATAATATTTATGAAAATCTGTACTCCCCTTGTCAGGTATTTTAAAATAAAATAAAATACAAAACCCAGAATTTTAACACAAAAATAGCATATTTTTGCATACGGTAGTCATTTTCACCATGAAGACAAATCCAGAGGTCAAATTTTTTTTTTTCAAATTAAAGTATATTACATAAGCTTTAATTTAAGATATATTTAAAAGTGTCAGTATTTCCGGAATACTTTCAAAAATTAAATTGAAAATATCTTAGTAACAATACGCATGTTTAAAGTTTTGACCCCCCTTGTTAAAGGGGTATGATCCGATTTACAAAAAAAGCGTGCCAGATGAAAGGGGTATATAAATATTTATTATAAAAAAATAATAATATTGATCCATACATTTTTCCAAAAGTTATATAAAATATAAATTAAATAATATAACATATAAAATCGAGATTTTTTTCACGGAAATCGTACGTTTTTCTTTAACTTTGATGTCCGTTTTCACCACGAAGACAAGTCCAGAGGTCAAATTTTTTTTTTTCAAATTAAAGTATATTACATAAGCTTTAATTTAAGATATATATAAAAGTGTCAGTCTTTCCGGAACATTTTCAAAAGTTAAGTTGAAAAAGTTCTACTTTCTATACGCATTTTAAAAGGTTTGCACCCCCCCTGTATAAAGGGAAATGGTCCGATTTTAAAAAAAAGTATGTCGAATGAAAGAAGTATATATAAAGTATTTATCATTAAAGAATAAAGTTGATTCATGCATTTTTTAAAAAGTTATAGCAACATAATGTTAAAAAATGTAAAATATAATATCAAGAATTTTTTCACAAAAATAGCATATTTTTGCATACGGTAGTCATTTTCACCATGAAGACAAGTCCAGAGGTCAAATTTTTTTTTTTCAAATTAAAGTATATTACATTAGCTTTAATTTAAGGTATATATAAAATTGTCAGTCTTTCCGGAACATTTTCAAAAGTTAAGTTGAAAAAGTTAATTTTTTGTAAAAAAGTTACCATTTTGAAACCCCATCCTTTGGGCTGTTAAAGGGTCAAATGTTCACAAAAATATATAAAATGATAGGTAATTATCTAAGGTATCTATAAAAAAAAAAATTATATTGATTCGATCATTTTTAAAAAAGTTATGGCAATTTTAAGTAAAAAAAATTGAAAAAATATCGAAAATTAGCGATTTTTAAATTTGTAATTTTTTGGGGGATTTCCCCCGTTTACGGGGAACGAGGGAATTTTTTTCAATTTTTGAGGGTAATGTCTTCGACTAGATACGATTTGTGATCTTTTGACATATTGTTCATCAAAATCGGTCCAGCGAGAGCTGAGATTGAGCGTTCACAGACACAAAAAAAAAAATAAAAAAAAAAACACATCATAGTAAAATTAATACCTTCTCAGCTTCGCATCGAAGCTAAAAAGTATTAACCCCAACACAATACTACAATAATCACCACTTAAGATAACACAAATTAGTAAAAATTAGTTAATGAAGAAAAAATAGTATTTATTACATATTAATACAAACTGTATTACAGTTAACACAATATAACAATTTACAATAGATCACAGTAAATAAATAAATAAAATTATTATATTTATATAATATTACTAAGTTATAATTTTAATTTTTCAAAAGGCTTTCTTATTTATAAGGGTCTATGTGATTTAACTTCATTACTGCTATTCTGTTCTGTAATTTCCTAAGTTTGTTTTCTAGAATGCCCTAAATGATATTATTTGATATAAGGGTCTTTTCTAAGTATGTTCTCTCACCTAAAACTTCAATAATTGTTCATTAAGTCTATATTGGTGATTTACTATTTCCATATTTTAAGTTTAAACTGTACACTAATGATTGCTACACTATTAACTGTTATATTGTATAATATACAATATAACACTTAATCTCACACACAAAGTTACAATTTTATAAACACTTTTTAGATAGCAATTAGATTAAGGTACTTTTTATGTTCATTCAACTAAATTTCATTTATATATTTGTTTAAAATGTTTACTGATTCTTCTAGTACCGTAAAATTTATCACCAATTCTACAGCTTTCAAGTAAGTGAATAATATTATAATATTATTTTTTACATCGTCGGTAACCTTACATCTATAGTTAGTGTATCTTACTGAAAATAGTCTTTTAACCGACATCATATTGTTGGAAAAACATCAGCTAGTTACATTTACTTATTAAAATGTAATATAAATTCGAAAATCCTGTATAACTGTTTAACTACTTAGTAACAAAAATTATTTTTCAGAAAGATGATGGTACAATAGTTNTATAACTGTTTAACTACTTAGTAACAAAAATTATTTTTCAGAAAGATGATGGTACAATAGTTGATGTAAATATATTAACTTTATTCTTTTCATATCATATAAATAACACATCAGTAGTTTTGTTTAAAAATAATTAATAAATAAATACTATGAAATTGTTGGTTTTGTTACGAATCTTCATTATTCGTATTTTAGAAAACATTTTTATTGTAGAATGTGTTCAAAATACTTATTACTTTTATTATTTACATAGATAAAGTAGTTATTTTTCATTTTTGCAATTATTTTTTTTAGCAGTTCTAGAGAATTTAAAATTTAATGGGTAACTCAAACTACCGGGAGACTTTTCAAATATTATACAATTAGAAAACTCCTTAAATAAATAAGAAAATTCTATATTCTAAAATATAATTTTCATTCCATGTCTACCTATTTTAGTTTCATACATATACATCGTAACTCTTTATGGCAGTATCGGAATTCTTTTTCGACCTTTTTTGAACAATCTATTGAGAGGCAATTGAAACCATAAATATAAAAATTTTAACGTTTATTAATTCTTTATTAATAATAATAAACGAGTAATAATCAATATTAACACAATTAAGTCCAGCGTTAGAAATCTAGAGTTTTGGGCGAAAAATATTGTTGTGACTTTAATATATTTTTAAATAAAAAAGTACATTGTTTTTGCTCATCATATTAGTTACATAACCTTTAAAGTGTCGGATCTTGTGGGAGTACACTTTAAACATTCTTAGGGCTAGCCTTGAATACGGTTTTTTTTATAGTTCATATTTACATTGATAAATTATTTTTATTTTAAAGAAATATATTTTTTCTAGGATACTATATTATTTGACAGTGAAGTAAGTGTATTGTTTTACAATATAATCCATATAATGATTAACAAAGTGACTTGTTAACAATCATTTACAGGATTCTGATGAATTTCTAAATGCAGAGTGTTCTTCAGCTTTTGTAAATCCGGTAAGTAAACAAATAAAAAAAACAATATATACATAATGTAATCATTTTTTTTTTTTTTTGTTAGTTTGCATCATCAACGGAAATAATAAAACCAGTACGTAAATCGGATAATTAAACAACTTTTGAATAGACATTTTTAATTTCTGATTCGTTTTTCTAAACTACAATTATGAAATGAGTGATACAAATCACAGGAAAATTCTATCTGGAATCCAAATAAAGTTATAATTGAACACATTTAATCATTATGGTTAAATTATGGTGAAAGTTATCTAGATGATGTATTTAGAGATAAACGAATTATCTATAATTTAGGATCATTACATATACAATCATTAAGATGATTTTCTATTTTATGTGTAATACTTTATAAGACATTATGGTCTGTTATAATTCATTAAAAAAAAAAACGGACGATTTTGATACCTTAATTTCTTCCGTACATAAATAAAATAAGATTAAATTTTTATATTTTTCACTTCAAAAAAACAGTTGAATATTTTATATTATACCTATATTTTTTCTTTTTTAATGTCATAAAAAGTACGATATATTAGAAAAATAATATTAAAATATTAATATGTAGTATCATATAAATATAAAACTATAAAAAAAACATTTTTCCTTAAATTTTAAGTAAACACAAATTATTCTCCAAAATTTTTTTCGAAATATAAAATCTTTAGTGCTAATAGCATGTAAAAAAAAATTTTATTTTTCCATATAAATCAGCCAATTTTAACTGTACGGAAAAAATTAAAAAAGTTTTTAAAAGATTTGAGAATCGCTATCAAATAAAGTATTTTTTTTAATTTTTGATATAATTTAACTGACGTTATATTGTTGAAAATTATCAGCTAGTTAAATATTCTTATTAAAATGTAATATAAATCCGAAAATTATGTATAATTGATTAAATACTTAGTTACAAAAATTATTTTTCAGGAAGATGATGGTATAGTCNTATGTATAATTGATTAAATACTTAGTTACAAAAATTATTTTTCAGGAAGATGATGGAATAGTTGATGTAAATATATTAACTTTATTCTTTTCATATCATATAAATAACACATCAGTAGTTTTGTTTAAAAATAATTAATAAATAAATACTATGAAATTGTTGGTTTTGTTACGAATCTTCATTAGTCGTATTTTAGAAAAATATTTGATCGTAGAATGTGTTCAAAACACTTATTACTTTTATTATTCATATAGATAAAGTGTGTTATTTTTCAAATATCATTAGAAAAAATAAAAAAAATAATTATTTTTTATTTACAATTTTTATTATTTATAAAGATAAAGGAATTAGAATGTTATAAAAATCAGTAAGATAAGTTACTCTCTATATATATTCCCTATTAAAAGAATTACATCTTGTTTAAACCTTATGAGTGTTAAAAAAAATATACTTATACATGAAAGATAACAACATTATCTTGTTGTATATCGATAAACATAACTGTTTAATATAAATACAATAAACTGTATATCTTATCATATTATTAAAAAAAAACATGTAAAAGAAGTTAAATTCTAAAATTGGTATTAAATCTGTGACTTTAAAGTTTTATAAGTCTATATTTCAATGAAAAATTGATAAATTGAATAAAAAAAATACCATTCTATGCTTATAAAAAGGGCTCTAATTTAAAAATTAATATCAAAATCAAATTATAAAATTATTTTCCGGTGTAATTTATATGATACAATTTTTTGTTTCAATTTATCATCTTTTAACCACTGTGAATCGGTACCTGGTAAGAGAGGAGTGTTATATTTAATATGTTGATTTTGGAGATTTTTTAAACGCAATTTTTCTCTTTACAAAAATAATTAAAATTTTTAATAGTATAATTTTCGCAAATACTGTATTTTTAAAGGAGAGACAAAACAATTTTATGAAGAAGCTCTTCATTAAATGTTTTAATATCCAAATATTTAAAATAATTTTTTTGTTGTGTACTAATAGCTATGAAAGGAAGAAATTAATACTTATATTTAAATTTTATTTTAGGATCTAACAGATCAACTTAGTTATTTAAACGTTAATACAGTAAGTTAAATAACGTATAAAACTTCTCCAATTATTTAAAAAAAATAAATTTATCATAATTTATCCGAAAAATCAAATAATTGAATACATTTTAGAAAACTATCTTCACAATATTATTATCAAAATATTGATTTTTCACTCAATATTATTGTAATAATATATTTATATATTTTTTAAGGTTAATGAATGGGATCAAATAAAAAATGACCCAAGGGATGAAAAATATTTTTTACCAGTTGGCTGGGAATGGCAGTTACAAATAGCTGATCTTTTAAAATTAGACTTTAATGATTTTATATTGTGCAGAACAAAAACTAGGACAGAAAATCAAAAGCTATATGATGGCATGCGTTTAAAAACCATTTTTGTCAATGAAAATAAATTGTCTAGTTTTTTCAGTGCATTATCTTACTGGATATCTGGAAGTACATGTTATTCGAAATACATAAAAATTATTCTATCTGAAGTAATAACTTGATATAAAATTTAGGATATTTCTATTTAATGATTTGTTTTTTAGTATTTGATCCTGTCTTATTATTACCGAGAGTTTTACGACCAAAACACAATACTAAAACGAAAAAATGCTTTATTAAACAACGGTAATATTAATTATGATTAAAAATATAATTATTTATAGTGTATGTAATTAAAATCAGTGAAGTATTAAATTATTTATTTTATAATTAAAAATATTTTTAGAATAACATAGATTCTAAAATAAATGTTTTTTAGATTTGCTTGTGGGGCGAGCTGAAATGTATGTTGCAGCTGAGTTTTTACAAACATCTATTTATGTTTATGCAAACAAAAAATGGTTTTTCATAAGTAGGGATGGACAAAAGGGTGAAATGAAGAAGGAACAGTGTCTGTACTTAGAAAATCCTAAAAAAAATTGGTTTAATGTTGTTATAGATGTAGTAGTATAACGTTAATGTAATGTAATTTTTAATGTAAACATTTCTTTGAAATATAATCTCAATTTAGTTCTTTATTTATTGAAATATTTAAAGGCTGATGGCATTACCTTGTTGTCGGTGTCAGAAACTAGTTGTTTTAAAGTTTACTTAGTATTTTCATTACAACTTGAATTTTACAATTAAATATATAACAATTATAAAACGGAACGATTTTAAATCACTATTTTTATTATAAATAACAAAATTACTATACTATGGTGTCATTGAGAACATTGATGATATATTTAGTATAATAATATACGTACATTTATATATAACACTTACATGTAAATTTGTCATCCAGTAGCAAGACATATATACAAAATTTTTATATTTTGTAATTTCGATACTTCTTTGCTAATTAGTTAGCAACTAAATAGGAAAAAACAAAATTAAAAATTACATTTTTTCTGTACGAGCCTTTCCATAAAATAAAATTAAAAATTATCAAATTGGAGAATATTTAATAATATTCTGTTTTATATCATTTTAATTAACTTTTCAAGATTTTTTTCAAAAATATACAAAAATTAGAGTAATCAAAAAAAACTTAGATTGTTTGTAAATATCTGGTGATCTTTTTATTTATTGAAATAAATTATGATAAATAATTAAAGACACAATAATTCTACATGTAGAAGATAACAATAATTATAGTACTTTTGCAATGGAAAGTAATTTTTACATTTCTATATATACTTTAATTTACTTTGTGACTCCATTTGTATCCTATGTTTGTAACACATCTATAAAACACTTCTATCCTGAGTAATAATTGTGATATTTTTACTGTTATGTTATTGTGTTATATAAATTCTTCTTCTTTTTTTCCTGCTCTTAATTCCATCTGCTTGAGATCGCTTCAATAACATCCCTCCATTCCTTTTTTGGTATTTCTTAAATATATCTCAAATTAAAGCTTATGTAATATACTTTAATTAAAAAAAAACATTGAACTTTGGATTGTCTTCATAGTGAAAACAGACATCAAAGTTAAAGAAAATAGTACTTTTTTTTGTGTACAAATTGTTGGTCTCCCTTTATCTTTTCTTCTTTTCACATTTATTTCCATAACTGATTTTACTACTTCGATTCGATTCGAATATAAAAAATTACGGGCCCCTTGCATTTAACCAAATGTAACCGAATGGGGTGGCGGCACAGTGGGGTCGTGGTATAGTTGGGTCCAGTATAGATGATATCTGACAGTGATTAAAATCACTATCATAAAAAACGCTTCGATGCAAATCTGTAGATAGTGTTTAATTTAAAAAAAAAAATTGTCAAAAAAGTAGGTCAAATGAGAACTGAAAAAATAAATGATAGCTACAAAAAATAACCACATAGTAAAATAATATCAATATGAATTTCTGCTCACGAGAGGAGACTACAGTAATGGAATCCTTGATATTTATTGAAGTTATTGAATCTAAATGAGATAAAAATTAAATGTGTTAAACATTTCTTTTTAACTCAAAAAGAATTTAAAAAAAATTCAGTGCCACAGTCGTGAAAGATCCAAATGTTACTGTCTCACAAACCGTACGTCTCATTCGTCACTTAATAAAAATGGAAATTTAGCTAGTTCAAATTTTAAAGTTATTTTTCTCGACTTCAAAGAAGTAAAAAATTTAAATATGATTAATTTTTTATACTATCATTTAGATTGATATAATATTTATGAAAATCAGTGTAATCCCCTTATAATAAAATAAAATACAAAACCAAGAATTTTAACACAATAATAGCATATTTTTGAATGCGGTAGCCATTTTCACATAGAACATAGGTCGTCGGGACAAATTTTTTTTTTCATTTTATAGTACATAAAATAAGCTTTAATTTGATATATGTTTGAAGTACGCAGTATTTCCGAAACATTTTTAAAAATTAAGTTGAAAAAGTTAGTTTTTGTAAAAAAGTTACTATTTTAAATTCCATTTGTGAGCAGAATAAGTGTTAGATTTTCAAAGAAAATGATATCAAACGAAAGGAAATATCTAAGGTTTTAGTATAAAAAAAAATTATGTTGATTTGTTTATTTTTGAAAAAGTTATGGAAGTTATAAGAAAAAAAATGACAAAATTTACCAATTTTTAAATTTGTAATTTTTTTGGATATTTCCCTCATTTGCGGGGAACGAGGGAAAATTTTTAAATTTTTAAGGAAAATTTCTTCAACTAGATACGATTTGTGATCTTTTGACGTATTGTTGAAAGAAATCAGTTCAGTGAGAGATGAGAAAAAGTGGCAATAAACATAAAAAAAAAAAACACATCATGGTAAAATTAATACTTTCTCAGCTTCGCATCGAAGCTAAAATGTCGAAATTTACCAATTTTATAAAGGGTAAGTTTTGAGGAATTTTCACTATTAACGGGGAACGAGGTCAAAATTTTTAACTTTTGAGGGTGATCTTTTGACGTATCGTTGCGATAAATTGATCCAACTAGAGCTAAGGAAAACAAAGTGACAGACAAAAAAAAAATAAACATATGATGTTAAAATTAATACCTTATCAGATACGCATGGAACCTAAAAAAAAATCTAAAAGTTAATATAGGTTTCAATTTATCAGGGAACCAGAAAAATTTTGAAAGTTGAAATTAAAGTAATTTTTTTTTGTAAAATTATGTGAATAACTGTACATATTTATTTATAGCCCAATACAATGGAGTCTGGTGTAAATGATACATGCAACATAGGTGCAGCTAGAGTATCATTTTTAAGGAGGCTTAATGTTTTTTTCTCTCTTTTGAAAAGAGATGTGGTTTAGCTATATCTAATTAAATTTATGATTTGCTATTTAAAAATTTTTCATGTTAAATATTAGTTGTAAGTATAACTTTTTCCGTAAAATTATTTGCACTTGAATGTAAGTTAACATAATGTAATATTCTGTAAGACCACAGAAAAGAATACGTTAAAACAATTACACAGATAGTATTAACTTTTGGGCAACTATAAAATAAAGGTGAATCATTGTCTTTCGTGCCGTCTTCTAGGCACCACTAAAGTACTAAAAAAAGGAAATTAAAATATAATAATTCTTTTGCGTTTATTGAAATATGGAATGATGACTGAATGTGCCTATAAAAAGTATGACACATTCAGGACGCCAATCCCCGTTTATGACTTTAGTGGTACATTATATAAAGGCTGAGGACACTGTTTTTCCAGTCAGTCACTCTTTCATTTTTCTCTTACTTAATAATCGCTTTTATCTAATTAAACCTTTAAGATTATTTCCTACGTATTTTGGCATATTCTTTATACTGTGAGTCTATAATTTTAACTTTTAACACTAAACTTAAAATATACATTTGTGAAAATAACTAACATTTTTCTACAATAATAAATACGCTTCTGTTAACCAAGTGCTATTCTCGTTTATTAACACACCTACTAGAATCTTGGGTATATTCTTAGTAATCATAAATCTACACTCAAGATTCATTCATCATCAGAGAATATCAGGTAAGAGTAGTTTTAATACACTAACTACATTTATTGAGTAATGACCGTAGATCTTAATATTATCTTTTATGTATAATCCCCCTTTACTGAAATAATTTCTATCTTTCTTTTGGTTATTACAAGTGGCGCCCAACTAGTGACTCTGAACACACTACCCTTTAAAATTTTTTTATCACCATCATCTATACTCTTATCTAATAATTCATACCATATATAAATGTCGGAATTATCTAAGCATGTAATAATTAATGTCATAAAACAAATGATAATACTTGTTGTAGAACATTCGACTAACAGAAACATTTTAAATATTCAGCATTTTATGATATACTTAGCCGATATTCTCTGGTCTTCCTCTTTATTACTTAATATAAGTATACATAACACATACATGATTGAAAGATTTATAAAAGCCTTTATAAATCATCACGAAGTCTTCCCAATATCCGAAAACAACATACTTACACAACTAACAATTATACTTCAAATTTTATTCAAAAATTCTTCGAAACAAATAGCCGAGATTATACTAAAAAGTGGTGTAGTAACGCAAAAAAATAATTTCAAAAAATTCTAATAATAATACAAATAAAATATAGATACAACATGTAATAAAAATTATAATAGTTTTTTTTTCTCTTTCTCTTTCTCTCTCTCTTACTTTTCTTAATAATTTTTTAATATAAAATAATAATTAATAATAAATTTTTTTTCCCTTCCCCATAATATATTAATGGAAAAAAAAACCCCAAGATCAAAATAAAATTATTCAATACTCTACTGTNCCAAGATCAAAACAAAATTATTCAATATTCTACTGACTTAGTACAGTGGATTAAAAAAGCTTCATATAATTCGTTATCAGAAGAATTAAATAAAAGAAAATTAATTTCTGAAGGTTCCATAACTGAACTCAAAGACCGCCTTCAGCGCTTCCTTATAGGCGAATCTATTGAATCAGATTTTCAAATTAATCAAATGTTACCTTCGCACAAAATGACAGAAAGAATACCATTTTGTCAACCTGAAAAATTTTCTGGTGCTATACACCAAAGTATAAATAATTTTTTGACTAAATATAATAGAGCCAGTGACATAAATGAATGGAATGAAAATCAAAAGAAATCATTTTTAGCCATTTATCTCACTGATACAGCCTTAACATTTTATGAAAATTTCGATAAGGAAAATCCCTTAGTAAAATGGTCCGATTTAGAAAGTGCATTACGTTTAGAATTTGAACCCACAGCTCAAACCCATATGTTGAANTTTGAACCCACAGCTCAAACTCATATGTTGAGAATAATGTTAGGAAAACGCAAACAGCTTCCCGATGAATCTGTTGCATCATTTATAAACGATACAGAAAATTTATGTAAACGCATAGATCCCAAAATGTCACAATCTGAATTAGTTCACAATATTATGAAAGGACTGCATCCCAAGAGTGCTAGATATGTAGGAATTTTAGACAATAATACTTTAAAAGAATTAAAATCGAATATTAGAAAATATGAATCAATTGAATTTATGCTAGATGGTGACACTATGCAATCTA